GATATCTATGTGCTACAGCATCCACTTCTCGTCAGGTTGACTGTGTTCTCGTTCGTCACTCTTATTCTATTAAAATTAAATAAAATAGCTTAAAATTATCCTTTATGCCGAGGACAACCATACTAGAAGCGCACTTGTGCTCTGAACTGTTTGTCCCTTTTTGAGGGGCTATTGTATATTTCAATGGGCTTTAGTAACTTGCTCTACCTGTGAAAGTTAACACATCCTATATGAATAGAATAGAATATTTTTTATTCAATATAGATTACAAGTAATTCTTATTGAAAGTCAATATTTTACTTTACCACTATAATAATATGCTTTTTATTAACCCCCGACGAAAATAGAGGGGTGTTATAACTTTGTATATGTATGTATATGTATGTACAATATGTGTTTGTGTGTCAGTCTGTGGCATCATAGCTCCTGGACGAATTGAGAGTGTTCTTGGCTATGTTTCAAAAAAATCTGTGCAGCCTTATAAAGATCATTAACTTAAAACTTTTTCTATTTCGGTGTTTTTTTAATTTTTAATTTAAATTATAATGTTTGCAACTTTTTACAAATTTGTGACTCTATAGGTGCATATAGACTACACACACCCTTCGTAATAATACAAATGTAAGTTAAACGTTGTTAAATTTTACAAGTGGTGAAATTAAAAAAAAATTGTTCAAACGACTTCGATGTAAAAAAAATGAGAACATCATCAATGTCAATTATATACGCGTTACAAAAACGACTGGTTAGGTCTTGATCAAATTTATATGGGACAACACGAAAAGCACCAGCTTTAAAAAAAAGAATCATAAAGATAGGTTAGAGCCGTGGTAGCTCAGTGGTTAACGCTCGCTGTAAATATAACAGAACGCGAGTAACCCGGGTTCGATCCCCGCCGGCACCAATGAAATTGTTAATTGCAATTTTAAGTGCTGATTTACCACGTGCTCGGCGGTGAAGGAAAACATCGTGAGGAAACCTGCATGTCTGAGGAATAAGAAAAAAACATATCTCGAAGACATGTGAAGTTCGTCAACACGCATTTGGGCAGGGCGGCGGACACTTCCTTGCCCTAAACCCTCTCAGAAATGAGGGGAGGCCTGAGCCCAGCAGTGGGACGTATTATAGGCTGTAACTTTACTTTTTTTACTTTAAAGATAGGTTCACCTATAAAAAAGGTGCTGAGGTACCGTGAAACCTTTTTGGATGGATTTAAAAGTTTAGGACCAATTTTCCAACATATAAGATACTCTCAGACTGGGCGTCAACGTTAAGTTTCTTCATAGGTTTTGTATTTATTAGTTATTTAAACAAATACTTACATTAAATAGACAAAAGACTCAAAGTAGAAAATGGTTCATTTTGTCGCAACTTTGCCATCAAGATTTATAATGAAAACAATATGATTTGACTTCAAAGTTGAATGTGAATTTATTATTATATATAATTCTATGCGCTACGCTTAGATTATAAACGAGAACAGATCTCGATTCCCTGTCGTCTTGTCACCGGTTGCAAATATATAATAATAAATTAAAGTACGGCCGCTGTACCTGCTCTATTGCAATGCAATTTCCGTGTAGAAACAGCGCCCGCTGCGGCTCCGCCTTGGCTCAAGTAAAACATTTTAACGGCATCGCTATTCATTCAGTTAAATTATATAAATATATTGTTCGTAAATTCGTAATGTCCGTACGTTCTATTATAGAGAACGTTGCGTGAAGTAGGTCATTTTTCTATTACATTATTAGAAAACATTAAGTATAAAAATACTCACGCCTGTCACCCAGAGGGGTAGACAGAGACTACGGACTTCCATTTGGCACGATCCTGACATACCTCTCTCGCCTCCTTTATACACACACATGTGGTCGTCTGTTAAGGGTACTACTCTTAAATATGGCTCATCTTCAATATATCGCCAATATGATCGATAAACTTTCTTAAAGGGCGTCCCGACTCTGCCGTTCACTTCTACAACATAAATTTGCTTTGCCACTCTTTCATCGTTCATTCTTCCTGCATGGCCAAACACACGAAGCATTCCTTTCTTAATCCTGGTCACAAAATCATCATCACGTAACAAGTCTATGTAATATGTCAATATATCCCACGCACCAGGCTTTCTCTTGTCTCTGATTGAGTTTGTGGCAGCGTTGCATTGTGTCTAATTTTACCCGACTGCCCCAAAAGGAGAGTAATGTTGTTCGAGAATACATATGTTATTACCTTACCATTACTATTATTATTATTACTTTATACTATACTTACTTTACCATATTACTTTACCACGCCTTTAGCTTAAACGGCTTGATGGATTTTAACGTATGAGGTGTCGTTATATTCATCTTAATGGTAGAGGTGACGTAGACTACAATTTTTTTCTATTTGCATTAAACATTTTACGCAGAGGTATTCAATTCGACTGTATGTTTTTTTTATGTGTTACCTCAGCACTTTTCTCTGGGTGAACCGGTTTTGATCATTCTATTTTATCTGAAAACTGGTGCTTCCCGGGTGGTCCTATATAAATTTAATCAAGACCTGATCAGTAGTTTTTGAGTTAATTTAATAATGCGTATTTAAAGGAATTCGAATAAATCAAAGATGTTCTCATTTTAATTAAGTATATTGAAGTCATTGCATAAAATTTTTAATTTTACCACCTGTTCATTACTGTTTTAACTATAGGACTTGTTAATTTTCTTAACATTTAAAAAAAATTAAGCTAAGATCTCATTGGGCCGACGTGGATCAATGTCGGTTTGCTATTTGCAAGGTTATCACCTTAGCTACTTAAGTAGTGCACAAAATATTATTTATGTACTAGCGGGCCGCCCCGGCTTCGCCTGATGGTTGATATTAACATAGCGTTAGTTAGATATAAGATGGTGGAGTTATCAATTTTTCGTTGTTTAAAAAAATCTTTAAGTTTTTCGAATAAATATAGCCTTTTAATATTACGGACAGACATTTCAGTTTTGTATAGATTAACCCTTCAAGCGCAATAAAAATCTCATGCAGTTGCGTGCGCCCGGAAATCCCGAAAGGTCATACGACCGCACCCACCCTCAGCACTTAAAACTATTAATACTTATATTTAGAGACGACTTTTCTATAAAGAAGTATAGCATTATAAAATCTATACAAAATTCTCTATCTTCTGGTCTAAACAAAAGTCAGGTTTTACCTCATTACAAAAATAATTTATTGTATTTTGATAACAAAAAAAAACTAAGCGAATGTCGACAGCGTGAAAATAACAATTATTTCAATATATGGTACTCGAAATTATTTACGTAAAAAGATAAATTATGTTCACACAAAAACTTTCATTACAATTTTATAATAAAACACTATACTAAAACTAATAAAATACTAGAAAAAATCCAAAAATCAACACAATAACATTCATGCGAAAATGGCGTACGAAATGAACGTAGATTATAAATAAATATTCATAGGAAGGTCACTACTACTGCACTGCCCCTAAGGCCTCGGTTTACATTTTGAGAAGTGATAAGTGCGAGTGGCAAGTGCTACTGACAAATGATAAGTGCTTAGTGCGTGTGAACAAGCAGTGACAAGTGATAAGTGTGAATAAAATTCGAACTAAGCACTTGTCATTTCTCAGTTGCACTTGTCACTCGCACTTGTCACTTTTCAAAATGTAAACGGGTCTAACTGATATTATTAAAAATATTGTGCATGTAATTGTGTTCATACGTACGAAGTGAAAGTTATTTACGACATATCATTCTTCTTGTATTTCGTTACTCTTGCAGCCCCGGCGTGAAACGTTATAACAAAACGTTACGAGAAATCGTGACTTTTTTAAATGCCTTAATAAATTTCTCCACTACGTTGAAAAAGAAGTTACACTTCAAAAATTCTGCATATAATTGTGTATACGTACGAAGTGAAGCTTCTTTACGACATTTCATTCTTATTTTATTTTATTACTCATGCAGCTTCTTCGGTGAAACGTTACAAGAAATTGTGACGTTTTTTTAATGCCGTACTAAAAAAAAAACACTTCGTCGGTAAAGAAGGTTTACTTCAAGAAATCAATATTTAATGTGGTAACATGCCATTGTTCGACCAATATCCAAGAATGCAAGGCAGTGAGCTATAAAGAACTGCGACATGTGATCATAATGACCTGTTGTAGGGCTGAAGCGGAGGCGAACGCGGCGTGAGTGACGTGCGTGAGTGGGGTGGTGACGTGTGTACGGCGGTCGGCACAGGTCGTGCACACCGGCCGCAAGACGGAGAGCGCGCGGCAGCCGGGGCCCGTGCTGCGCGCCGCGGGGCGGACGCCCGTCCCCCCGAGGCGGCGCTGGGTCCCGCCCTCCTCGCTGCGGCACCACGAGGTGCCCGATGGCGACGCCAAGCACGACATCATACATCGCAAGGTCAGTGCTCACTTCCCATCGTACTAACTGCCCACAACTCTACACACTACCCACTACCCATTAGCGCTGGGTCCCGCTCTCCTCGCTGCGGCACCACGACGTGCCCGACGGCGACGCCAAGCACGACATCATACATCGCAAGGTCAGTGCCCACTGCCCATCGTACTAACTGCCCACCACTCTACACACTACCCACTACCCATTAGCGCTGGGTCCCGCCCTCCTCGCTGCGGCACCACGACGTGCCCGACGGCGACGCCAAGCACGACATCATACATCGCAAGGTCAGTGCCCACTGCCCATCGTACTAACTGCCCACCACTCTACACACTACCCACTACCCATTAGCGCTGGGTCCCGCTCTCCTCGCTGCGGCACCACGACGTGCCCGACGCCAAGCACGACATCATACATCGCAAAGTCAGTGCCCACTGCCTACCACTCTACGCACTACCCACTAGCGCTGAGTCCCGCGATGCGGCTATATTATGGTTGTTGCATGAATAGGTCGGCTAGACCTAGGAAGGAACTACACTCTCACAGAATACCAGCGTAAAATAGCAGCTTAATACTTCTGTGTTTCGTATGGTGAGTGTAGACATGTTTGTATGTGGTAGAGCCATGCTGCAGTTATGCATATGCATGCATAAAGGCATAATAATTGACACTAATCTAATGCAATTATGTAATATAATCTGTTATAGATTAGTTATAGTTTTTATAATTAATTATTAATTTATTCAATAATTAATATTACAGGTGCGCGGCATACTTAACAAACTTACTCCGGAAAAATTCCAAAAGCTAAGCGATGACTTGCTAGGACTGGAGCTGGATTCAGACAAAGTTCTGAAGGGTGTGATCCTGCTGATATTTGAGAAGGCGCTGGACGAGCCCAAGTACTCGTCTATGTACGCACAGCTCTGCAAGCGGCTGAGTGAAGAAGCGCCGAACTTCGAGCCGCCCGGGCAGCCGTGCACGTTCAAGCTGCTCCTGCTAAACAAATGCCGCACTGAGTTCGAAAACCGCGCTCAGGTAACAGCTCACATATTATAAAACTAATTTAAAGAATTTTATTGCATTCGTTTTAACCTATGAATTCCCGACGTTTAAGACTACAAATTCTTCAAAAGAATACCGTTTTTACCATCTAGTTAATACCTATTAAAGGCACCTTTAATTAATAAAAATAATATGCATACCACTGCATTTTGCATTGTTTATATTATTTTGCAATTCAGGATAATGTAAAATGTAAACTTAATAGATTAGATTAAACTTGACTACGGCGCCACCTATCGGATCCTAGCATAGTATCTACAAAACAATCACTAACAGATAACCCTGCTAGATTTTGTTCTCGGCTTTCTGGTAGGTGCTGCAATAAGTTGCTCTCCCAATTAGCTCCAAACTTTTTAGAGTGCAATTATATTTTTTTTAATAATCCGGCCACAGCAGCCTTTCAAATTCAGAGCAAAACAACATAATATAAATATATAGTATTCACAAGTGGACCAAAAGGACACTTTTGACCTGTAGGATCCATACAACTACAAGCTACAACCTTAATATGTTGCGGCATGGCTTCACATATAAAAATGTCGATAAATAGAGAATAAGTTAAATCAGTTTTGGTAATTTTAAGAAATCATCACAATGTTATTTCAAAAGAAGCATTTGTAAATAGCTCATAATCTGTGTTAGAGTAGTTCACTATTAAAAGAAAGTAAAGTCCTATCCATGACGTTTAAATGTTTGCGATGTTTGCAGGCGTTCGCGGCCTATGAGGACAAAGTGCTGACAGCGGAGGAGGAGGAGAAGCGGCACCTGGCTAAGTGCAAGATGCTGGGAAACATTAAGTTCATCGGCGAGCTGGGCAAGCTGGAGATCCTGGCGGAGTCGATCCTGCACCGCTGCATCCAGCAGCTGCTGGCACGACGGGCGGCCGCCGAGCACCATGAGGACCTGGAGTGTCTCGCACAGCTGGTGCGAACATGCGGCCGAGTGCTGGACTCTCAGCGTGGCCGTGGCCTTATGGACCAGTACTTCGCGCGCATCGAGGTATCTACTTGGCAGGGCCGCTACAGTAATGTTATGATTGTGACAAGAATGGGTTGCCCACCAGGGTAAGACCTCACTCTTACTAAACGCCAAACTAAAATAGCAGCTCAATGCTGCTCTTTCGTATGGTGTATGGAGAACCAGAGACTGGTACTGGAAATTAGGCACTCCATCTTAGTCCTCAGGGGTGGAACGCTTCTGCTATTTGAATGTTATTCAAGGATAAATGTAGATATCTTTGGTCCACGGTATCCGGTTACCATCAGGTCAACTGTATGCTTCAGCTATGAGCATTATAATGTATAGACAGTTGTGGAAACATCTATTTACTTTAAAACCTATATATAGTTTTACATAACGCTCATAACTGTTTATTTCTTATAACGATCTGCAACGCTGAGAGTACCTTTGAACCGTAACGCTGCAACATTGCGTTGGCTTGGAATCGTGATTTGTGATAATATTATACCATTACGCATTCGCTGCCGTACAAAAACAAATGTTATGCCTTAACAATAAGAACGAAACTGCCGCGGGGCCCATGTTGGAACATGTAGGTGAGCGAAACAATGTTCGAGAAATACGATTATTTCTTTCTCTTTCATTTAGAAACTTGTATAACTATTTCGAAATGGCAATGTGTCTCTAATAAAGTAATTTTAATCCTAGTGCTGTTTATTATAAAATTCTACACAGTAAATACGATTTTTGCCATGTATGCACTGCATTATGGACTTGACCTTGTTAATACGAAATATTATTATTGACCTTCTGTCCTTCAACTTTTGAACTTGAGTTTTCATATTGATTGTGACTGGAAACAAGTGCAATAATAAATTTCTTTGACGAAAGAGCCTTCTCCTTTAAAGATAGATGTAGATGTCTCCATATTAACCATCAGGTGGATTGTGTGCTCATTTGTCACTCTTATTTTATAAAAAAACATAAGATGCTGGCTGGTGCGCGAGAGCTGGCTCCTCGCATCCGCTTTATGCTGCGAGACGTGGCGGAACTACGGAGAGGAGGCTGGATGCCGCGTGCCGCTACATCTGCCGAGGGCCCGGTGCCCATCCACCAGCTGCGCGCTGATGACGAGCCGCCGCGTCGCGACCGAGATCGCGGGCTCGACCGCGACCGAGATCGTGAGCTGTTCCGCGGCGGTCTCCGCTCGAGACCGCTGGATGATGTACTGGCCGGTCTCAGCCTACAGCCGGCGCCACTCGGCCCCGACAAACTGTTCGGGAACGGCTTCGGATCATCGCGAGATGCATTCAGACAGCGTGCGCCCGCTGGTTACTTCCCGCGCTCGCACCAACACCACAACCAGAACCAGCACCACAACCAAAGCCAGCACTACAAGCACCACTCCGCGCAGCACCAGAACAATAATGCCAAGGTACTGCTCCACACCGCAACACTTGACTCACTCTTAAATACATACTACTACTATACTATGTTGTACTCGGTGATTTTAAAAATATTAGTTGAATACGCTCCAACTTTAGTCTATATTTGTTATATATTGGACTCCGCCTCCCCCTGTGATTTAATTAGAGTTAAAGTTGTCATCAAGGTGTAGCTTGGGTTTATGGATAATTACTAAAAAAGAAACAGACAAGTGTGTGTTTGCTATTTGATGTGCTGTATAGTTTATTTCACATCACTGACTGCAGGCTGAACACGTACAGGATAGCGCCCGTCACTACATCAGATTTGAAAGACCACAAATCCTTTCTAAAGAACACTAATTCCTTCCAAGAATGATTCGCGAGGCTATTGAAATCAAAAAACACCCTAATTTTAATAGAAAAGATGGGTGGATGTTACCATATGCTTGAGATCCCATAATTAATAAAATTAAATCCCAACCCAAGCATACAACTACAAAACTTCAAGATACTATAAGTTCATACTGCGTAGATCGGAACAAAAATTAATAATTTTAATCTGGAGGTAGCTATGGTTAACTATATTAACATTGTGGCATCGAACACCTCAGTTCCCCCATGACCGTGGGTGCTGTAAAGTGCTTGAAACGTCGGGAATATAAAATGAGTTAATATACGCGAAAAACTCCTTAAAAACTAGGTTTATTTAATTATGTAGAGTTTGCATAAATATAAGAAATCATTATTTATTTTTGACAGTAATCTATCAAGCAATTTAAGTCTTGTATTTTGTAACAGTCTATGGCAAATGAATGATCTTAGGCTATATGGGTAAAGGAAGATGTTTGTAAAAGAGAAACAATCACCAATATCATTCACAAATAATATAAAAAACAAAGACCGAAAAATAGATCCTTGCAGTACGCTTAAACTTAGATTTATGATATTGACAGGAAACCATTAATCGCAATTCGTTGAGCTCTGTTAAAAACATATGGTGAATGCGATCTTAACAGATTTCATTATATCCGATTGAATGATAATTTCTTTAAAAGTATGTTGTGATAAACCTTATTAAAGGCCTTTGAGTAATCAGTATAACTACTTACATGTAAATGGTTAACCATGTAGTGAAAACGATAATTTGTGTAAATAACAAGGTTAGTTGTTGTTGATTGATGTTTTTAAATATCCATTGTTGAGGTACCATTATGTTATGGTGTATAGGATAAATTTGCTTATGTACTAGCTTTGCAAGATTTTTTGATATAGTTGATAGCAAAGATATGTGGTGATAGAGACGTAATTTAAACTGGTGTAATATTAGAGTTTTACCATATCTGGAGGACACTACTTCCTTCTCTAAGACATTGGTTAAAGATTGGATATAAGGGAAGACTAAATTACTGCGGTAGTGTGCTTGAAGAAAAATGCTGGAAAGCTCTCAGATATAGGTTCTTTTATCATATCGTGTCGCCACCAACTGGAATAAGCTACCGCGAAATGTGATTGATGCTTCTACATTGAACGCTTTCAAGAACAGATTGGATAAAATCTCCAAACATTAAGACGCACACACATCTAGCTTTTTAGCTGTTAGTAGGCTTATGTATTAATAATAATAATAATAAAATAATATTGAGTAACATAACTCTTAGCTATCCTCAGAAAAGTAGATATTTGAAATAATCTTAAAGTCCAGTTTAGTAGGCAACATACTAAGATACTCCTGTGCTGTCTATTTTATATCCAGACTAAAAATTCAGAAAATAATTCGTAGATTTTAACTTTTTTTTATTATATTATATTTTTATTTGATGTCGTTTTGTGACTTCTTTTGTGAAACAGATTTTAGTGTAAATCTGAGACTAATTAAAACTACTTATTAAGACCGACGATGACGTAATTGCTAATTACTAATTGGTGTTACGTCACACTAGAACAGTGGTACAGTGAATATAAAAGTTTTGTACAGGTCATTCGCAACACAGAGTAATAAAAAAGAAACCAATTAATCTATTAAATCATGCAGTATGCAGTATGGCACTATGCCGTTTCGTCCCGTAGCACAGGTGTCGTAAGAGGCGGCAGAAGAAAACTGAAACAGGAAATGGGCAGCAGTATCTTCCTGACGATTCGAAATAATGTTGCGAGCTTGGAGTTCGTGACAATAAAAACTGCCGATTGAATTACTAAAATTGACACGATTGAAATGGTAAACGTTTGCGAGAGTGTATGAAAATCAATAGTTTTGTAAAACAAACTTTCTGAAGACTATTGTTGTAAACAAATGGACAAAAGGGTTAAAAGAAATATTACCGAAGCAGTTATGCCTGCTGGTCTAAGTTTACATTTATATGTAGATCATACATTTATTAATTTATTTTTATAAAGAGCGTATGTCTAAAGGATATTGACTAACAGTTGGTTAGAATTATTTTGTTCTATGAAAGAATAAATTCTTAACCCCTATTTTTGAATAATAACTAATTTCCGATCCAACTGTGGGTTGTAACTTTTTTGTGTAAGTATGCAGAGTTAAGATCCGATTGGTTGCGCGCAGGATGGCGCTCGCGCGGGGAGCGGCGGTGGGGGAGGCAAGGCTCGGGGCGGGGGTGGCGCGCTGGCCGACGTGCAGATGCGTCCGGCTGCCAACTCGCTCATGTTCACCGCCAACCGGCTGTCGCGGCCCGCGCCGCACGCCCCGCACGCGCCGCACACCCCGCTGGCGCCCGTGCAGCAGAGTACGTGCTGCTGTACCCTCAACTCCTATACACAGTTGCACACCAACCCACAATTACTGCTTGCAAGTTAACACCACTCGAGTCCTCTAGAACCTACTTGTAAAGGGTTTCCCATAGATGTTCAAATAATATGTCGAATAACCATTATTTATTTCTTATTCATTACCAACTTCAATTCTTACAATATTGGCGTATACTCCCCTTGACGGCTCGAGCTAAAATGACTATAGATTACTAATAACTACCGAATAACCACTCGCTCGTTCCAAAATATTTAGATTAAATATAAAACTATAATATTGTTTAAATAAATAAGTTAGTAACTTTAAAACACTAACCCTAGAATACTGACACAGTTTTCGTCTCATTTTTTGTGAATACCAAAGAGATATAATCGGGACAACAGTCAGTCGAAATCTAAAATCTGTTACATTCAGGCATTTTCCTATTATTGTACTTTATAGTCTAATAAAAGAGGTTTCATTCGTGAAATTCTTATTTAAAACACACGAACGCACACAACACACACTCACACACCGCACGCACACATACACACACACACACACACAAGCGCGCACGCGCACGACACACACCACACACACACACACACACACACACACACACACACACACACACACACACAAACACAAACACACCGCGCGCACACGCACGCGCACACACACACACACACGCGGCGCGCGCACACACACACACACACACACACACACACACACACACACACACACACACACACACACACACACACACACACACACACAGTAGTCAGAATAGCTTCCTGGATCTCAAAACTTCGATTCTGATGAAAACTCGATTTTCGAAAATCGAGGTGAAACCAATAAATTCCCTAATTTTGAAAATTTTCAATTTTCTTAGCGGGAAGTTAAAAATCACAAGAAAATGAGGTAGATAACAGTCTATATTGTTTTTCTGAAGGTTTCACTTATACCGCTTCTGAACTGCACACATGTTATATTTTATAAAATAAGGGACACAAACAAGCGTACAGTCCACTTGATGGTAAGTGGATGCTGTGAGTCATAGACATCTACATCTTATCCTCGATTAAGAATCAAAATGCAGATGCGTTGTCACCCATGAGGACTAAGATGGAATGCCTCGCTCCCAGTAAAATGGGTTTCTACTTCTCTATACTTACCATACGAAACAAAGCAGCATTAACCTCCTATTTTACGCTAGTATTTTGTGAAAGCGTGGTAATTTCCCGGTCGATCTCACCCATTCATGCCACAACCATAATATAATTGCAGCGTTACTCTACCACGTAAAAATGTCTAAATCTTGCAAAACAATAGCGCAAAATATTGTTTTTTTTTTTATTCTCGCATACTTATTTTTCTTATCTTATTTTTCAACATGTTTTTCATATAGACAATGTTTCATAAAAGTAGTCAATAAACATAATTGCTTACTCAATTTAATGTTTTCTTTATTTACGTCACAGATGTGTTGACACCTTCGTTCGCGAGCACGCCGTTGCTACTTAAAGAGCCCGCTATTACCATCAAACCTGCGCCCGATAAGAAGGAGAAACCCAAGAAAGACAAGGTATTTGCCTTGTACAACTTGTTTTTTTCTTATTTAATTATTATTTTACATTGCGTGTCTACTATATCCTCTGGTGGTAAGCGCATTCACTGAATTTAACCAAAGTATATTCACTGTTAAAAATACGCAAATTGTTATCGGATGAAAAGATAGATAGAGAAGTAAAATATGTATTAGGCCCGGTTTACATTTTGCGAAGTGACAAGTGCGAGTGACAAGTGCAACTGACAAATGACAAGTGCTTAGTTCGTTTGCTTCTTCAAAAAGTTCCTACTACAAGGAGACCTTGTGAGAAGAAGCGGCAAGAAACTCACAGATAGACTATTTTTCTTCCAACTGTTATTATGTAATAGAAGAGATGTGGAAATATGAGAGTTGAACTCAAATTTATTTACTAATACTACTACTACTTCAACGCGGCTTGTATTGCCTGTTCTTGTATATAGCAATGTGGATCAGCAATAATTAAATGTTTGGTGCGGTGGTGCAGGGGCTGAGTAAAGAGGAGGCGTGTCGTCTCGGCATTGAGGCGGTGGACGCCCTAGCGGATGCAGGTGGCGTGCGCGTCACGCTCGACGACGCGCAGCACGAGCAGAGCGACGAGCAGCATGATGCGCTCCGCATCCCGCAAGTGCAGAGGCTGCGGGACCTGCAGCTACCGGACAAGGTACTTTATACCGCGCACACTTCGTCATACACCCACTACACTACACCTACATTATTGTTGTAGTATCAATTGCTTGCCTCGTCTGGGCTAGTTTCTATTGAAATGCACACGACGCTTCTATGACAATGACTGAATAGAGCTAATAGAATGAACTAGTTGACAGTCTGAAATAAATTAGTACAGAGCAATCTTTAAAATAACCGAGCAGTCACAAGACTATATGACGCTTCTACATCTACATAAATTAATAATTTTATTGATTATGACACAGATCAAACAGTTATACACAAAGTTTCACAAGAAGATAACAGATGGTGTTAGTTGTTATTGATTAATAACTAGATGAATTATTTGATACATATTTTAACAATTTCGTATGATGAGTAGTGAGTCTACTGGAATGAGGCATTCAATTTTAGTTTTTATGGATGACAACGCATCTGCATTTTGATTGTGCATTGGAGATAGATGTAGATGGTTACTGTGTAGTGGTAATGTAAGAATATCCAAAGTTTCATAATATGATCCGTGTCGTAAGGGGCGACAGAGAGAAGCAAACTATAGTGGTGATCTGTGGTGGGGGGATCTATGTTCAGAATTGGGGTTCAATAGTTTGTAACGGTAACGGTACGGTACGGTAAAAAAATAAATAGTTGAATGAATATCGTATGTGTAATGTGTAATGTGGCAGGTGCTGCGGCGGGTGATCGCGGCGGTGCTGGAGCACGCACTGTCGGGCGGCGCGGCGAACGAAGGGGGCGAAGGAGGCGAGGGCGCGGGGGGACGTGGCGGGCGGGGAGGGGGGAGGCGCGCGGGCGGGGGCTGGCGCTGGCCAGCGCGGCGTGCGGCGTGGTGCGCGCCGTGAAGCGCGCGGCAGTGGGTGAGCCGCTGCGCGCGCTGGCGCACCGTTACCCGCACGCTCGTCTGCCGCCGCTGCTGGCGCACGCCGTGCTACAGGTACGTGCTGCATGTGAAGCGCGCGTCGGTGAGCGAGCCCACCTTGGTTTACGCGTTTGACTTTCAGGGTAATTTACGGTAGTAGTGGTTTACGGGAAGGTTCATTACGGTCATATTAATCTTAGGTCATATATCTTTGCACTGGCGGGAATATATAGATACGAAGGGGGGCTAAAAAGTTCACGAAATTGGGGGATTGGCTAGTGTGAGTTCACTCATCTACGTGGGCGCTATTTTAGTGACTCATTGTTAGTAAATAATATACCAAGTTTTAGTCTAATCAAGGCATTAGCTTTTAAGTTATCAACAAGTAAACAAGTCAATCGGGAAGAAACTAGACACTGTGGAGAAAATTGAATGTCGCCCCGTCATTATGTTTCTCACCAAACAAGGAAAGACATCTTAAACCATTTTTCAAGAGATGTCAGCTGTTTATGCTGATTCCGCTCCTGAGAAAACCATGATTTATAACGGGCACGCCCTTTTCAAATAAGAGAAGTGGACTCCATTGAAGACGACTCCCAACCTAGGCGGCCGATTGAAGCAACCATGCCAGAAATAATTTTTTTTTTCTCTTTATTAGGAATAGCAAACAACTACATAGTATAATCTTACACAAAATAATGTTAGCTAATGTAAAAATAAGAATAAATATGTAGTCAAGTACACTATCCACATATTAACAAATGTGAACTTATATATAAATTATCGGACGCGATCAGATGCTAAGCAACAACAGCTGATATTGAGGAAGTAATTAGGTACAGTCACCAACAATAAGATGTAAGCACCTGCGTTTACCATTATTACAGTAATAATAAAGTTTGTACTTAATTAAAGTGTACACATGCCATTGTCAGCGACTGCACGTAATACAAAATTAATCATTAACAGAACATAATTACAATTAACATATTTATAAAGATGACCTAGGAGAGATTGTTGTTAAGAACTGCGCAACTGCACAACGCGCAACATTTTATTCCATACATTATCTATGGTATAAGTGATAAAAAAGTATCCATCTAAATCTAAATAGCGACATAACGTAACAAAAGAGTTAAAAAAATGGTTATAATCGAAATAGTTGAAAAACTTATATCGGAAAATGCCCATCTAAAGAAAAAACAGCTTGCAGAATTAATTGGAGTATCAGAAACAACCATTTTAAACATCCTACATCAACACTTTGGCATGACTAAAGTCTGTGCGAGATGGATTCCGAAAATACTTTCTGCGCATCAAAAACACAACCGCGTCGAAAGTCGTTGCGAGTCGCGAGAGGTCCAAAAAACTCTATGGAGAGCAAAGGGACAAAGTTACGGCACGAACTTTAACTGGCAATGAAGCTTGGGTTCACCATTATGAACCTGATTCAAAGTAAAAGTCGATGCAGTGGCATAAAAGAGGCACACCCCTCCTAAGAAGTATAAGGTGTAAGTCTCAATAGGCCGGAAAGATCATGTCGGCGATCTTTTGGAATACAGAAGGTATCCTTGTGATTGATTATAAGGAATGTAGTGTTTACATAACGGGACAATACTATGCTGCTATACTAGACCAATTAAAAGAAGCTATTAAAGATAAAAAGCAGCGAAATCTTACAAAAGGCGTGTTCCTTTTGCACGTCAACGCGCCCGTGCACACAAGCCATGTTGCGACGACTGCCATACACCGGTGCGGTTTTGAACAACTGCGCCACGCACCAGCCTAGCCTGTTAACCAAGCCTAGCTCACCTTCGATCGCGCAATACCAACCTTACGCCCGCCAAGTAGTGATCGAATTAGATCAGAATTATGTAAACATGTCTACCTATGAAAAAACTATTTTTTCGTTTTAAACAAAACCAAAGACACTATGCAATAGATATTAGTATCAAAGACAAAGATATGCTCTTTTATTTTAAACCATAACCTGGCAATGTTTCTTAGAAAAAAAAAAAGAAATCACTCTGAACTTCCGGCGTTCCACGTGTCACTTTGTTGAAGGTGCTCCGTCTTTTTTATAGAATTTTATATTTGTGTCTGGACTAAAAACGAAAGTATTATACTTTTTTATATTCCTTGTAATATAGTGAACACATATATATATAATTTGTGGTATAAAAAGTGAAAAGTAAATTGCCAAAAGTGCTTCAAAATCTGGAAGGCCCATTATGGCGGCTGGGTCATAAATGTGGTATTTTTCACATTCTCATTTATTTTTAGTGTAAAATGTAAGTAAAAATAGTTTTCTTACATATTTCAAATAACTTGACGTTGTATTTATTTCAAATTCACACAAAGCTATTTTAGAAATATTGTTCTAAATGTCACACAGATAAAATATTATTATTTAATTTCTTTAAATTTTAATATTTTGGTATGAGTAACGAATGGAAACACATAAAACATAAAAATATACATATTTCCAAACAATTTGATATAAATTTCTCCAAAAACAAAAGTGTAGAATTCAAATTAATAGTAATTTTGTCACTAAAATTGAAGTATATGCTACTACTATGCTATACAGGGTAATTTACGTATTTTATTACAATTTCTAGCAACCAAAAATAATTTTATTCGATAGTTTATACATTCAACATGAATTCCTGTAAGTTTTATCCATAAATATTGTCTCAAAGTGAAAATATAGCAAAATTTGCAATATAGCAAAAAATTTGCTAACTTACAAATTTTCCCGCCAAAAAGGTCCCGAGTGAACGGGAGTATAACATGGCGCGCGCTCGCTTGGCGAACAGGCTAGACTACAGCCCAGACCTGGCCCCAAGCGACTATTATTTGTGTTCAAAAACGAAGGACTGCGTGAGAAAAAATTTGGCGACGATGATGAAGTGAAGTCGACAAAAGCCCAAGACAAATCTTTTTTTAGACGGTATTAATAAGCTATTTGACAGATTTAATAAATGTATTAGGTATGGAGTGAAAAAGTGTCTGTAGCAGTAAATAACAGTTCAAAAACTATCCACAACAGCGCTGGAGTAGCTACTGGGATGAAATGAACTTAGCGGTTATCGACGGTTTGAAGTGTGCTGCTAAACTGCTCAGTAGCTCTAAAATCTAAAATAATTTTATTTAGTAAATATAACCTCGAAAAAGTCGTCTATCCCACTAATATTTTTCGGCACGTTCTTTAAAATGTAACCCGTAGTTATAGTGGCACCACCCTTATTTAACGGTTTCTATAGACACTTTTTAATACCCAGTCTGAACTCTTTACTTCTTCTACACTCAATAGTATTAGGGTTAAGGGAGAATACATTAAAAAGGAAAAATGGTGTAAGGTTTCATTTCATTATCTTTCCCTGTTATTCCGCAAACTTTTTCACCTCTCTTCATAGATAGTTAACTGTGACCGTCTTTGTACTGACTTGGTATGTGTAAATTATATTATTTTCAAATTCTAAACATTTTTTAATCTTTGAATACCAGTCCCTATAAGGCTGATTTGAAAATAAATTCTTCAGTTACCATCTTCTTATTTGGGCCCATTTTAGACGTTATAGCGGTCAAACCACAAACACTTAAAATGTTCATTATCAAGAAAGCTCACGGTTGTGACGAGCGACTACGAAACCTTACTTTGTGCGTGGCTCGATACGCACTTCGTCAGTTTTGTTATTTTCATGATTTTTTTAGTTATAACTGAATTAACATATACTGTCTTACTACAAAAAATTCAGACATCTGTTCAACACGTGTTTAGCAAATTGGTTACTACAAAAGAGTGTTTAACGGTGGTTTATGGATAGATACGGCTTAGATGTTTAAATTGAAACAGCCGCAAACCCTTGTTTAACTAGTGTCTAACCTATCTTTCCGTCAGTTCAGTATTTTTATTTAACATGGATATAATTGATTTTGTTGATCACTTCGATGAAGACGACATGAATAACTATGCGGAAATGTTCCGAGAAAGTAATACGGTTCCTGTGAGGGTTAATCCGCTTGAAAAATACGACAACGCCAAGTTTAAGAAAAAATGTGGGTTCAGCAAACGTTTTGCTAGAAAAAAATATTAGATCTTGTGAAAGACGATATTCCGAGTGATTCTCGAGGTAACACAATAGATCCAGCAGTACAAGTGGGTTGTGCATTACGGTACTGGGCTCGTCACCAAGTAAGTTCAATTCATACAAAATTAAACTATGCTTACGTGTGGCGTCGGTAGAGAAGAATAGCTTCACCCATCAGGCTGTACTATGTTTGCCTATTATGTATTTGCAATTTTATTTGTTTTTGTTCATAAATGAAATAACTCATGAAAATTTAACAAAAGATATAGAAATATATATATATATATATATATATATATATATATATATATATATATATATATATATATATATATCTTTTTTTATTATCGAACTTTGAGACAAAACAAAATTTAATTTTTACGTCGTTAGTCGTATTAATTTGCGTATAACAAAACGAATGATCGAATGCTGAACGAATGTATTGCAGTGTGACCTGGAGAATAAAGTTAAACGTTGTCTATAAAGGCACGCGTTAAACACGGTTTAGTGGTAGCGAAATTTAAACCATTGTTTAAGATGTGTTTATCATTTAAGTCCGTGTCTAACTAAACACATGTTGGACCAGTGTTTAAATGCTTTTTTGTAGTAAGACTGATATAGTTTTATTTTATCAGGGCTGGTATGAACTTCTCTAGTCCTGTGCCCGTTTGATGTAGAGTGTCGGGACACGTTGTATAATAGGTTATTATCATTGAATGTTTGAAAGGACACATAGACGATTTTGACGGTATACAGAAATTGGTGACGCTGGCGGAGGTGGGGTCGTGGTGCGAGGGCGGGCAGCACCACCCGCTGCTGCTGGAACTGCTGCAGCAGCTGCGCGAGCTCGTCGGTGACGACGCGTTGCTGCAGCTATACAACGAGAGCAAGGTTGGTCACATCTCAGTTTGACACTGTGTTATATTGTTCAGTTTTTGTCGGTTCATAATGAGAGGAAGTTCGGTCATACTTCCCCCTTTGTATTGTTGAAACAGTTTATATATATTAGGGTTACCAACCGTCCTGTTTTCCCAGGGCATGTACTAGTTTTGTAGTGTCTTGGGATGTCCTGGATGGTTTTAAAGCAGCGTCCTAGGTTTTGAAAATGCCCTGATAAAGTCATGTAGAGGTATTTAAAAATCACGGCTCGCGAGTGTGTTCGCGTTGTCGCGCATCAACGCCGTGTTGCGCTCACACTACCTCGTGGATTCTGCCGAATGTGATCACGTACAAAATGGTACAAAGCAAAGAATTCACTATTTAGTATAGTCTGTGCAAGCAATATGGATGTTACGACTTGCAATGGAGCTTGGAGGGATGTCGAGAGGCGAGGCGAGGGGGGCGATGTACGCTGTCATGTATCATTTTGCTATGATGTTTTCTACATCCAATATTTTTTCGACTTTAACGCTGACTGACTTTAACACAAATAATGGTATATTAAAAAAAACGGATTGTGTATTTTGTATCACGTTGGCAGATACAAAACTCATTTTATTAACATCTTAGGTAAATATCAGGTTGAGTTAATGCTCTATTACACTAATAATCATTATATATCAGCTTTAAATAGCATTTTAATTTCGAATATTTCCGCCTTTGATGCTAATTTTTAAGAATGCCGTATTTGAAATTAAGTAAGGCTCAAATAACCTTTTTTGATACTAAAGACGTTATTCCAGAATTAAGGTTGTCATACAAGCATGTAACGATTTTTAATTTTCGGGATAGTAATTAAATAATAGTGCATCTGGCAGTTACAAAAAATCTTTAATTATCTTATAAACTAAAAAAAAATTGAGCTAGCTCAAAAAATGTTTTTGAGTTTTTATAAACCATAAAAAAATTATATGCGCATGTTGTTGACTTCTTCCAAGGGCCCTTCGCAGTAATGTTCCCGAAATTCAGGCGCGGTAAGGTTCTCCTGCGCATCTAGTATGTCTTTATAAATGGATAAATCTGGGGCAAAATCTTTTTAAAGCAATTTTTTAACATCATCCAATTTATTTTTATTTACGGGTACTATGTTAGGTAACTGTTTAGATATCATATTATTAAGAGATTTATTTCGTTGACAAATGTTTTGTGATTTTCCAAGATCATTTTGATGGTAAAGTTCTACCCTTACCAAAACATTTCCGGATATTTTTGAGTGTTACAGAACAAATCGCTTGCAATCTTTAAACGCGATATTCCATGACGAAGTTGGTTTTAAAACTGACTTCACGGCATCTTGCCAGTTGTAAACTGGGCAATCGGTCCCAAGCTTTATCAACGTTGATGTTTCACCTAGAACGTCTTTTATTACATCAGGATGTAATATTACATCCATTTTACGCATTTTTTTCTCAGCAATGCCAAATTGCCGGTCAGCAGGCATAAACGAGTGTCCTGCCACTGGAAACACCAACTCGATTGTTTTAATATATTGATGCTCCAAAAGCCATTTAGAACATTCACCCACCAGAATGCTGTTTTTATTCTAACCGCCGCAGCCATCTGCGACCAATCGAATGTTAGTAATGCCGGTAAAATCTGTATGATTAAGTCTATGTGTAATAGCCGAAGCGACTAAGTTCGAATCTTTATTGATTTCATTTTCCATGCAATAATAAGTAAACACACGCTCTTTGGTTAAGGGGATATTGGAAACACCTTCCACCACAGTAAAATTAAAAAAATATTATTGACGCGAGTAATATGCCATTTGATCAGGCAGGTTTGGCAATGGCAGATTTTTTTGGTAATCAAAAGATAAAATCTTAAGATCATTCGAATCATCTTTAAGTTTCTCATAAAAAACTTTAGCCCTTAAAGAGTGCACATTCTTCTCTGCTACAAGTAAAGCTTTCTTATGAGGATCAGTTTCAGAAGCACTTTTTCCAGCAAGCTCTAAACACTTTGAACATGCGACAGTTTTTGGTGTTCGAAAGCCTAAATTGTAGCAAGAATTAAAAATGTGACGGAAAACGATTGCTGGTGGCACTAGTCGCGGGCTCGAACTCATTGGTGGGCGCGGCCAAAAAGCACGTTGTCTCACCTGGCATCGTGCCCGACAGAGATAGTATCAGTGAAGAGCAGTTAGAACGCACGTCTTGTTCGTACGGCGTTCCGAACCGTTAGAACAAAAACGAAGTTACACACATACATACCACCCTATTCTGTGCCGCTCGACGCTTGCTGAGAAATCAGCAGTACCTACCTACAAACTCGTACTAAATTATTAGGCGCTGCGTTATCGCTTTATACTATACCTCTATGGCTCTATAGATACCTAATATAGATTGCTTATTTTATTATGTTTAGTTTTCCCCGGGTGGTCATGCAGCGATCACTCAAGAGTTCACGACGCCGAAGCATGAATTGGAACAGTCATCGCAGTTTATATCCGTACTAGCTGTTGCCAGCGGCTTCAAACGCGTGAACTCGAAAATTATCCCACAGGAACGTAATACCTGAATAAACGGTAACAAATGTGTTATTCCAGACCAGGTATAACCTATCTCTGAGCTAAATATCATCCAGATCCCTTCAGCTGTTCTGGCGTGATTGAGTAACATACATCTATCCATCCAAACTTTCGCATTTATAATATTTAGATAATAATTGTAATTAGTTCTGCCTACCTATAAATTATTTTCAAAAATACTTACCTGTCTTCTTACTTTTTTTATATACACACAATATCACTAGATGTAAACACACGTTTTTATCAAGACAAGTGACCCGTCAAGACTGTTTCCTTAGTACCGACGTACTTAGGCAGATAGGTAGGTTACATTTTAGTGTCCACGACGCAGCGACAGTTTGTCAAATTTTGTTGTATTGTAGGTTGTGGGTATCTAGGTAATAACAGTAGGTAGGTCCTATCCACCGAACCGTCCACGCCGCGCAAGTGATTCTCGTCCCACCTGTCCGCGCAGTAACTTTTTTTACGACCGCGCGAGACTGTCGCAACAAAAACTGATTACTACTGAAAAACTAATATAGGTACCTACCTAACATTCAAATAAAAATATTCTCAAAAAGCTTAACGAATTCAGAATTTAATTTTGTTAAAAGAAAATTGGTCAAATAAAAAATAAAGGATGAAAATAAAGCATATGGGAATACAAAAATAAATCGTAATTATTTTTTATTTCAAGTTTTACAAGAAAAGTATAATATTTACTGGAGACAATTATTTTATTATTATAATAGTACATGATATTCCCTTTAAAATGACACCAATATGAATAAATCTTATATCTATATCTACAAATAAATAAAATTGAAGTGTCTGTTTGTAATGTTAAAATAACAGCTTTTTATTAAATGCATATGAAAGTACTAGTAACAAAAACACAATTTTTAAAATTTTTATCTGTCTGTCGGTCTGTCTGTCTGTCTGTTTGTTCCAGCTAATCTCCGAAACAGCTGGATCTATTTTGACGGGACTTTCACTGGCAGATAGCTGATGATATAAGGAATAACTTGAACTACTTTTGTTTTAGAAAAGAGAAAGAAAGATTTCCCAAACCTGAAAAAGAATTAGGGTTCCGCGCAAAAAAAATTAAAATCCATGAAATCCATATTCCACGCGGGCGAGATCGCGGGGAACAACTAGTACTCAATAAAGATAAATGTATACTTATTTTTATTTATTTATTATTTTAATAAATAAATAAAAATAAGTATTAATAATTTCTAGACACATCTCAACAGATATTTCGTTTATAATTGCTATCAATACTGAAGCATTCTTTTATATTTAGCATCCATTTAACACAAAAAACTGATAAGAATACTTTTTAAACAACATATAATCAATAAACGATAATCGCGTATAGTGAATTTCGAGGTAAATTATTATATGTAAACGTTTTTGAATCGTCGTAATGATACATATTTCCTAAAGAAAATATCTTCACAATTAATTTGATGTAAAGTAACATTAGAAATAACATATAAAAACAGAAAAATTATCAAAATTTTGATCGAGTCACCAGTACACAAACAAAAATGGCGAAATGTCATTTTCACATTTTTTTCCAATATAGTTATTTGTTACAGAGTACACAGATAAAATTCACTCTCACAGATGACAAATTTCAAACACCACAATCTCTAATTTTTTACTCTGCTATCTTCAGCGCTGTACACGAACGGAACGATGTCGTTGAGAGCCGTGGTAGCTCACGTGGTTAGCGCTCGTTATAAGTATCACAGTACGGGAGCAACCCGGGTTCGATCCCCACTGGCACCAATGAAATTTTTGCGTGCTGATTTAGTCACACGCAAAATCAGTTGAAAAATCAGTTGGAAAATCTGTTTTTCTGGGCCGTTTTGTTTTGTTACACTGACATCTCGCAAGTCACCTAGGGACCTGGGAGGTTGTCGGTTGCTTATTTTTTTTTCTTTAAAATTTTCGTCGGTAAAATAATATATTTATAAAAGTAAAAAAAGTAAAGTTACAGCCTTACAGTCCCACTGCTGGGCACAGGCCTCCTCTAATTTCTGAGAGGGTTTTAAGGCAAGGAAATGTCCGCCACGCCGCCTCAATGCGTGTTGACGAACTTCACATGTCTTCGAAATATATATTTTTTAATTTCTCAGACATGCAGACCCGAGTTCGATCCCCGCCGGCACCAATGAAATTGTTAATTGCAATTGTGCTGATTTGCCACGTGCTCGGCGGTGAAGGAAAACATATTGAGGAAACCTGCAGGTCTGAGAATATAATTAACAATCAAATTGACATAGGTAATTACAGATAAAATTAGCGGAACATTAATAAAATTTTGAATCGTTTTTTTTTTTCAAAATTTTATTTATATTCCGCTATTTTTGTCTGTGCTTATATCAATTTGATTTACATTCGATCTCTAAATTGTAGTTTGCGAGGGTAACGG